AAAAGGCTTCGGCTGCATGCTACATTTCTGGTTTCGAAGATTGCTGTGCTGTGGCTGAGCTCGAGGAAGCATTTTCTGCCTTTGTTCTCAGTCTGTGTTGCTGAGTCACTAATTTATACATTGTTCTGTCTGGGATTCGAGTAATAAATGAAAGGAAATTTCATAAGTTTGACTTTGGCCCACTCTGGATCTGCTCCCCTCTTGAGTTTGTCGCCAGCCATCAACCACATCCTGTGGCATCGAAATCTCATCCATAAATTGTATGCTGTAGAGCTGAAAACATTTCATAGATGAACATCAGGACAGTTGTGGCCACCAACATCAAAGTGCGGTTAAGATGGCCACTGGCTAATACACATTTCAGCGCCTCAAATGTTAGCCCTATTTCTGGGTCTATTTGACGTACCGATTCCAAAAATTGCACCAGTGCTCCCTTAACAGCTCTAGTTTTTGAGATACAGAACACATACCATGTCACTTTTTATCTGCCTGCTCATAGAAAACCATGATAAACCTTATCTAAGAAACTAGACACGATGTGGTCTATCCAAGGCAGTTTTCTGAATCGAAACCTCAAACAACCCCATGAACAGGCCTAAAAAGAAACCATAATAATGTTGTTGGTGTTTTTGTTGGGCTTTGTTATTAATAACTATGTGTACCCACCACACGTTGCTGTGGCCAACCTTTCCTCCCTCTTTCTGTCTTTCTCTTCTTCCTCTCTTCCTTCCTTTCCTTCCTCCTTCCTTCTTCCTTCCTCCCTCCCTCCTCCCATCCCTCCCTCCCTCCCTCCCTCCCTCCCTCCCTTCCTTCCTTTCCTTCCTTTCCTCCCTCCCTCCTTCCTCCCTCCTCCCTCCCTCCTCCTTCCTTCCTTCCTCCTTCCTTTCTTTCTTTCTTTCTTTCTTCCTTCCTTCCTTCCTTTCCTTCCTTCCTTCCTTCCTTCCTTCCTTCCTTACTTCCTTCCCTTCCCTTCCCTTCCTTTCCTTCCTTCCTTCCTCCCTTCCCTTCCCTTCCCTTCCCTTCCCCCCTTCTTCCCCCCTTTCTTCCTTCTCTACCTTATTCTTGGACTGCAACTCCCAGCAGTCCTCCTGATCTATCTATCTATCTATCCATCTATTTCTATCTAATCTATCTATCTGGAGGACTGCTAGGAATTGCAGTCCAGGAATAGGAAATTGCAAATATGCAGGGATTGAATGCTCTCAAAAAAAAAATCCAAGGAGAAGAAAGTTTGCAGCTTGGAAGCAGTGCATTTGGATCTTCCTCCTCTCCTAAAGGGCCTGGTCTAGGGGGTGCTGGGAGTTGTAGTCCAGAAGAGAGTGTGATATGCTGTTGTGTCTTTTGTTTGCCAGGGGGGCGTCATTTCTGCGCGTGTGCTGTAGTGTCTTTTTGCTTTTTTGGCTTTTTAAGTCCCTTCCGCTGTGTTTTTCAGTGTTTTTATGAGTGATGGTCACTTGGATTAGTAGGTGTCTTGTGGCCAAATTTGGCAGCAATTTGTCTAGTGGTTTTTGAGTTATGTTAATCCCAGAAATGATATAGATGAAGAATGCAAAAGCTAGGAGAGGCTGGAGTAGTTTGCTTTTGCCTGAGGATACTATTAGATGGATCTGTAATTGACCAAGCTTGGATGGTGCTCACCAATGATTCCTCTTCATACTGGAAAGAAGTGACTAGTGGAGTGCCGCAGTGTTTGATCCTGGACCTGGTTCTGTTCAACATCTTTATTAATGACTTGGATGAAGGTTTAGAGGCCTGCTTATCAGGTTTGCACGTGACACCTAATTAGCAGAGATAGCTAATACTCCAGAGGACAGCATCAGAATTCAAAATGACTTTAATAAATTAGAGAGCTGATTGGCCAAATCTAACAAAATGAATTTCAACAAGGACAAATGTAAAATACTCCACTTAGGCAGAAAAAATGAAATGCAAAAATAGAGAATGGGTGACGCCTGGCTCGACAACAGTACATGTGAAATAGATCTTAAAGTCTTTGGGCATTTCGAGATGGGGCTTAAACCCACTTCGGAGCAGGTTAAAAAAACATTTGAAGCAGTTGAAGTCCCCATGCACTTTCCAAAGATCTGGGCTTTCCCAGGGGACTGTCTCCATACCAGTGCGTTGGCTTCGGGCCACCTCATAAACCACCACCAAAAGCCTTTAAAATATGTCAAAACTTAACTGGGCTGCCAAGATGCCTCTCTGGAGGTTTCCTGGCATATCATTCCTACATGCCAGGAGGCCTTCGGAGAGGTGTTATGATGGCCTGGTAAATTTTAAGGGCTTTGGGGGCAAAATGGGGAGGGGATGGGTGCTCCCCTTGGTTCTCCAGGCTTTTGGAAGAGGTGTGTGAGGCCTGACCCCTGGATAGTTATGAGACTACCTATGGGTCAGTCCCCACAGGGCCCATACCTCATTAGACCCAGGATTTCCAGGGTTTTCCTGCTTTGTCCTGAATTAGTTCGCTTTTACCTGAGGCATTGTTTGGAGACCTCAGGTAAAAGTCCGACAGGGCCCGCATTTTGGGCCCTATCTGGAAGGACCCTTCGTGGACAACAAGTTTCTCATGGGCCAACAGTGTGATGCAGTGGCTAAAAAGCCAATGGGATTTTGGGCTGCATCAAGAGGAGTCTAGTGTTCAGATCGAGGAAAGTCATGGTGCCTCTCTATTCTGCTTTGGTTAGACCTCACCTGGAATACTGTGTCCATTTCTGTTTACCACTGTTTAAAAAAGATTTTGACAAACTGGAAGGTGTCCAGAGGAAGAGGGCAAATAAAATGATCAAAGGTCTGGAGACCATGCCCTGTGAGGAGTGTTTTAAAGAGCTGTGTGTTTAGCCTGCAGAAGAGAAGTTTGAGAAGAGGCATGAAAGCCACGTATAAATATGTGAAAGGAGGAAGAGGGAACAGACTTGTTTCCTGCTGCCCTGGAAACTAGGACTCGGATCAATGGGTTCAAATTACAGGAAAGGGAGATTCCACCTGAAAATTAGGAAGAGCTTCCTGACTATAAGAGCTGTTCAGCAGTGAAAGCCTCTGACTCTGAATGTAGTGGAGGCTCCTTCCTTGGAAGTTTTTAAACCAGGGGCTAATGGGCGGATCTCTCAGGGTACTTTAAATGTGTTTTGCCTGCATGGCAGGGAGTTGCATAGGATGGCCCATGTGGTCTCTTCCAACTCTAAGATTCTATGATCTACAATGCCATATAATGCAATTTGAGAATGCTGTTTAACTGCATTATATGAGTCTATACTGCCATATAATGCAATTTAGTGCAATTAAACGGCATTCTGAAAGTGCATTATATGGCAGGGTAGATGGAGTCTGAGTCCTCCATGAAGGGCAGCCCTCTGCCTCCTCTCCTTTTCTTCCTTCTGAATTAACTGAGTGTGAACTGCTTTTGCACTTTGAATTTCACTTGCATCAATTAAAGTACAAAATGCAAAGTGGGGCATTTTAATAGCAACTGATAGTGGAATGACAGTGACACCAAGACACCAGTAGAGAAGGAAGATGGGTGGACAAAGACATGGAGTTGGGAGTATTCTGCCTTCCTGTAAAGTGGTTGCCCCTATTCTCTGGTGCTGCAACCAAATTTCCTGAGATTCCCTTCATATGTTTCATAGTTACTTGACCAAAAAGAGGTTAAACCTTTCTCCACAGCCTAAGAAAAGACTATGTATTGACATAATGTGTATGCTTGTGCCTTCAAGTTATTTATGGTGACACCATGAATTTCATAGGATTTTCTTAGGCAAGGAATACTTAAGAGATGGTTTTGACAGTTCCTTCCTCTGAAACAGGGTCTATAGCACCTGTTATTTGTTGGTGCCCACATCCACAAACTAACCATAGTTGACCATGCATTGCTTCTATGCTCAGATGGAATCTGGTGTTTTTGTTGTAGCCCAGCAGCAGTCACAGCAGCCAGGGACTGATGGGTTCACTGATGATTTACAGCCAGATGGGATTGTGGGCTTCCCTGGGATTCATTCTGATGCAGGCACAGATGTAGGGCCTGAGAATATAATTGCCTCTGAACCTCAAGGCCAGTCTCAGGAGTTGGAATCATCCTCTCTTGATAAGGCAGTGGTTCCAAAACTGTAGGTCCCCAGGTGTTTTGGCCTACAACTCCCAGAAATTCCAGCATGTTTACCAGCTGTTAGGATTTCTGGGATTTGAAGGCCCAAACATCTGGGGACCCAAAGGTTGAGAACCAATGAGATAAGGAGTCTAGTGAAAATGAATTGATGAGAAACTCTCAAGGAAAAGAACCTGGTGATACTGACCTAAGCAAGGAAGCACACTTGCAGATTAGAGCAGATAGCCAGTTTCATAGATTAATACGGCTTTGTGGGAAGCAGAAATTCCAGGGCCGACGTAATTCTTTCAAGTCTGTTTATTGGGAGCCAACAAGCACTCTGATGTCAGTTCAGGCAACGTGGCTTTCAAGTACAACTAGGCCTGGGTTCTTTAGTTCTTGTTTCAACTCTTGGTTTTGGATTTAAGTGTTCTGGGAGTTCTCCATGTTATTGTTTTGTATTCTTGTTCAAGTTTTGCTTATGGACTTAAGCTGCCTTTGTTTTTTGGGATTGTCTTTGGATTGTACTGCTTTTGGATTTATAAGAGACAATTGATAGCTGACTTTTTGGATTCTACACCTTATTTCTTTATTCCTGCTTTTTTACTATATATCTTTTGTCTGTTTTGCAATAAACTGTTTGCTTCTACTCTGGACTCTTGTGTGATGCTAAGGTCATAGGTGGCTCCAGGCCTGGGGTGCAAAAGCTTTGAGAGTATTTAGGCCATGACATGATGCTTTGCTCACTATAGATGCCTCCGAATGCTCTTCAAGACTGATTTGAGAGAAGGATTTGTTCCCACTATTGCCCTCGCCATTGCTGTGTGTGTCACCTTCTGCTATTTCAACTGCCCTAGTGAGTTCTCTCATCTTAGTAACACTAAAGGCACCTCTATCTGTTCTTTTCCTCCACATTAAGACAGGATTGAGCATGAACCAAAACTGAGACACCCCTCACTGCTGGCAGAGGAGCGTTCGCCAAAATGGCTGATCACAATGAATTCTACGAAGAGATCAGCCGCGACAGCATCAAAGACTTTCAGTTCATCAGTCAAGGGTCCTTTGGTACCATCTACCGGGCTCGGCATCAAGACTGGGGAATTGATGTGGCACTGAAGATCTTTAGACGGTAAAAGCAAGGGCTAGAGGGTATGATGGGTTAGCTGAGAAAAAAAAATGACTAAATATTATTTGGAGACTGGAAACTCATATTTGGGCTCATCTGCATAGACCAGGAAAGGGGGCCTGTTTGGGACTCCTAAGCCCAGGGAGCACAAAATGGCTGTCTAGACAGTTGCAGCTGGTCCCAGTTAGATTCTAGTTCAGCATTTGGGTTTTTTGCTAAGTTAGCAAAACCCAGAGCAAGACCACATTAGATAGCCTTGCCGTGAGTTCAGCCAGATCAGCCCCATGTGGTATTTAGCCATTGCAGAGCTGATATATCCTCACACCAACCTAAGTGGTCAGTGTAAATGTATTCTTTGATATCGTCAATGGAAAGTTATCCCTTGAAGACCTCCAGTTTGACCATGAGATTTATTAGGCTGAGATCCCCAGCTTGAGTGTAGCATCAAGACTCAAGACTTTCCAATGTTTCAACAGTGTGATCCAATCTTGTGTCTCATTCTGAGCACCATAATTCAAGAAGGATATGGAGAAGCTGGAATGTGTCCAGAGAAGCGTGGCCAAAATGAACAAAAGTCTGGAAGCCAAACCTATGAGGGAGCTGGGTATATTTAGTTTGGAGAAGAGAAGGAACATGATAGACATGCATAACAATAGGAAAGGATATGTCATTGAGGAAGGGGAAGCTTGTCAGCATGGGCAACCCATTGTTTCTAGACGGTTCTAAAGTACTTATAAAACTAGGTGCACTGGTACTTTGCTTCCAAAGTGTTGCTAAAGTTCTGGTGGTGAAAATTTCAGAACTCTTAACAAAACTTTCAAAATGTCATTATAAATGGCAGTTCCTAATTAGTTCTGTCATAAAAATCACTAATAATGAAATAATAATGAAATTTTGAAAGTTTTGTTAGAGTTCTGAAAGTTTCACCACCACTGTAGAAGCAAAGCACCAGCGCCTTCTAGTTTTGTAAGTACTTTAGAACCATTTAGAGCCATGGATTGCCCATGCCTAGAAGCTTGTTTTCTGCTGCTCTGGAGAGTAGGACACAGAACAATGGATTTAAGTTGCAGGGCAAGAGATTCCACCTAAACATGAGGCAGAACTTCATGAGCTTTTTGGGAGTGGAATAGGCTGCCTGGAAGTGTGGTGGAGTCTTTTTCTCTGGAGGTTTTTAAGTAGAGGCTAGAGGACCATTTGGCAAGAGTGCTTTGATTTGTTTTCCTGATGGTGGTGGGTAGTACTGGATGGCTCTTCCAACTCTGTGATTTTCTGATTCTAATTTTTTACTTCTATCCTTTTCTTTACCTTTTTCTTTTTACACTGTTGTTCCTCATCTGCCCATCAGCTCCACTTCCTTCACCCAAAAGGAACTCCTGAATGAAGCCCGGGCCATGGTCAAGGCACGTTTTCTCTATGTCGTGCGTTTCTATGGCATCTTTGTAGACAAACTGCAGCTGGACAGTCCCAGTGTGGGCCTTGTGATGGAGTACATGGAAAACGGCAGCCTATCTGACCTGATGAGCCAGGTCAACTTTATTCCTTGGGCCCTTCGGTTTCGCATCCTCTTTCATGTGGCTCTGGGGATGAATTACCTACACAACCTCAGCCCTCCGTTGTTACATCTCGACCTCAAATTGGGCAACATCTTGCTCGATGCAGTTTTGGATGCCAAGGTGAGCTATCTCCTCTCACTTTTTTTAAGGTGAAGCACAGGTGTAGCTTTATGGGAGGGCAACAAGTGTGGGAATTACCCCAAATCATCACCACTAGCACAATCACTATCATCTTTATTTATTTCCTTACTTTCCCTCCAATTGGGAATCTATTCAATGCAGTTTCCTGGCATATCTATATATATATAAATGCTCTGTGCATAATGAGTACCCTAAAAACAAAAGAACCAATGAACGAAATCACACCTAATTTGGCAACAAAACGTCTCACAACACAAGGAGTGACCATCACTCAAAAAATTACGATTTTGTCATTTGGAAGTTGTAGTTGCTGGGATTTATAGTTCACCTACAATCAAAGAGCATTCTGAACTCCATCAACGATGGAATTGAACCAAACTTGGCACACAGAACTCCCATGACCAACAGAAAATACTGGAAGGGTTTGGTGGGCATTGGCCTTGAGTTTGGGAGTTGTAGTTCACCTACATCCAGAGAGCACTGTGGACTCAAACAATGATGGATCCGAACCAAACTTGGTACAAATATTCCATATGCCCAAATATGAACACAGATGGATTGGGGGGGGGGGGAATCTTGACATTTGGGAGTTGTAGTTGCTGGGATTTATAGTTCACCTACAATCAAAGAGCATTCTGAACCCCCACGAATGACAGAATTGGGCCAAACTTCCCACACAGAACCCCCATGACCAAAAGAAAATACTTAAGGCCATCCAGTCCAACTCCCTTCACCAGGGCAAGAAAATGTAATCAAATCTGTCCTGACAAAGGGCCATCCAGCCATAGATATAAAGAGATATGATTCACAAACAGAGATATAGTATCATAGATTTGAAAGCGACCCCTAAAGAAGGACAAGTCTATGTTTCATATTCCAGAGTAGGCAAACCAGACACTCACATCAATACTGACAAACAAACAACATGAAATACTGTTTACCCACAAGCAGAAAGAAATTACATATATTTAAAACCCACACTTTCACATTACTTTATTTTCCAGATCACCAGACTGGGCCACAGCAACGCGTGGCAGGGGACGGCTAGTACATTAGTAAAAATAGCACTAAACACATTTTAAAAGGTGATATAACTAAACTACAACCCACCCTCCACATTTACAGGTTTCGCTTTTGTGGATTTGGTTATTTGCTGATTTAATTAAACTCTTGGTTCTCAGTTGTGACTCTGTGGTCAACTTCTGCCATAGATTCCCAAAAAATTTAAAAAAAGCAATGGATAAAAAGGTAAGGGAAATAAATTTAGATAGGATAGGGGATTGGATGAAGGTGGAAATGAAGAGGGAAAGGATGTTGGAAGAGTTTAAAGAAATAAAATTGTCATGGTTTCATTGTATACAATTAGAACAATGGGTAATAAATTGGGAAAAAAATAATAGAAGTGAAAGCCAACTCAGTCAATTCGAACAAATAATACAGAAGGGAAGGACTGTAGAAGAACACGAAAACTTGAGAGGTATAATTAGCAAAATTTATAAGATATTAATTGAAATGAAAGATGAAAAAACAAAAAAGTGCACCCTTAAAGAGATTTGGGAAGAAGATTTAGGGATAAAAATAAGCGAAATAGAGTGGCAACAATTATGGGGACAAAGACATTTAAAAAATTTATCGATACGAGTTAAAGAAAATTATTACAAGTTAATATGGAAGTGGTACTTGACCGGTAAGAATAGCATATATGAATAAAAATAACTCAATAAATTGTTGGAGAGGGTGTCAAGAACCAGGAACATATATACACATGTGGTGGCAATGTAAATATGTAAATAATTTTTGGGAGAAAGTATTTAGAGAAATAGAAACTATAATGAATATAAAATTAGATAAAAGTCCTAGTATAGCATTACTATCACTATATAACGATAAGCAATTGAAAAAGGAGGATAAAGAAGCGATAACAAACTTACTAACTATAGCAAGACTGCTTATAGCAAGGAATTGGAAAAAAGAAATGAATATACAAATAGAGGAGAGGTATAAAGAAGCATGGAAAATAGCAATAAACGATAAATTGACATGTATATTAAAGGTTAAAAAAGGTATATGGAAACAAAGCGATTTTGATGCTGTATGGGGAAGATTTGTGGTAAATGGATTAAAAAATAAGGAAGGAAAATTACCGTCACAAGAAGAAATGAAATTTTGGACAGATGAAATGTAAGAAGGGTGGCTTGAAATGGGTGGAGGGGAGCACTGTGGTGAAAAAAAGGGGGAAAAAAATGAGAAAAAGGGGGAGAAATGTCAGAGTAAAATAATAAAATAACATGTTAAAGAGGTTGATGTACAAAATGTAATAGTATGTAATAAAGTGATAATCAATAAAAAATTTATATATATAAAAAAAGAGACCATAGCAGTTCTCAGGTAATGCTGATAATGTTTTTATATTGAATATGTCTAAGGTAGCTTGAACCAACATTGCAAGTAAACATGAGCCTACTAAAAAAAAAAAAAAAAAACTTCTGCCATAGGGATGTGTTGGAGAGTCTAGAAATGGCTAAATTACTAGAGAACACGTCTCTAGGGATTTGCAGGTTCCCCAGCATAACTCTATGGTCAACTTCACAGAGTTGCACTGGAGGACCTAGATATTCCTAGGGAGATGTTCTTTTAGGTTACAAAATAGTGTTTTTTCATGTGTGCAACTGTGCATTGGTGTTGGTCCTGCGTTGCAAATGTGGAGGGCTAACTGTACTCAAAAAATTACAGTAATTAAAAACACAGCATTGAGCCATAAAAGTGATAGGGGTTGCTCTGAGTTTTCCGGGCTGTATGGCCATGCTCCAGAAGCATTCTCTCCTGACGTTTCACCCACATCTATGGCAGGTATCCTGAGAGGTTGTGAGGTCTGTTGGAAACTAGGCACATGAGGTTTACATATCTGTGTAATGTCCAGGGTGGGAGAAAGAACTCTGTCTATGTGAGGCAGGTGTGAATGTTGCAATTAGTCAACATGATTAGCATTGAATGGCCTTGCAGCTTCAAGGCCTGGCTGCTTCCCACCTGGGGGAATCCTTTGTTAGGAAGTGTTAGCTGGCCTTTATTGTTTCATGTCTGGAATTCCTCAATTTTCTGAGTGTTGTTCTTTATTTACCGTCCTGATTTGAGAATTTTTAAATACTGGCAGCCAGATTCTGTTCATTTTCATGGTTTTTTTCCCTTTCTGTTGAAATTGTCCACATGCTTGTAGATTTCAGTGGCTTCTCTGTGTAGCCTGACATGGTGATTGTGAGAGTGGTCCAGCATTTCTGTGTTCTCAAATAATATGCTATGTCCAAGTTGGTTCATCAGGTGCTCTGCTATGACTGACTTCTCTGGTTGAATTAGTCTGCAGTGCCTTTCATACTCCTTGACTGCTGCGTTTAGTGTCCCTATGTAGACTTGTCCACAGCTGCATGGTATACGGTATACTCCTACAGAAGTGAGGGGATCCCTCTTGTCCTTTGCTGAACGGAGCATTTGTTGGATTTTCTTAGTGGGTCGGTAGATAGTTTGTAGGTTGTGTTTCTTCAGTAGCTTCCCTATGCATTTAGGGGTTCCCTTGATGTATGGCAAGAACACTTTTCCTCTGGATGGATCTTTGTCTTTATTCTCGTGGCTTGTTTTTAGTCTTGCAGCTCTTCTGATGTCTGTGGTGGAGTCTCCATTGGCCTGTAGAGCCCAGTTTAGGTGGTTCAGTTCACCCAACAAACCTTACAACCTCTGAGGATTTTTTGTGTGTGTCAGGAGTGACTTGTGAAACAGCAAGTCGCTTCTGGTGCGAGAGAATTGGCTATCTGCGAGGACGTTGCCCAGGGGACACCCAGATGTTTTGATGTTTTTACCATCCTTGTGGGAGGCTTCGCTCATGTCTCTGCATGGGGAGCTGGAGCTGATAGAGGGAGCGCTCTCCCCAGATTCTGAGGATGTCTGCCACAGATATGGGCGAAACGTCAGGAGAGAATGCTTCTGGAACACGACCATATGACCCGGAAAACTCATAGCAACCCAGTGATTTCAGCCATAAAAGCCTTTGACAACACAGTGATAGAGGTGTCCAGCTGCATTCATTTTGCAATATAGATGCAGCAATAATCTAATATGCAAATTTCTATACAGTGCTGGCTCGCTTGTATAATGAGTGCATCTCATTTTCTGCTGTTTATATTTCTTGATTCAGGTGGCTGATTTTGGACTCTCTAAGTTCAAACGTGGGACAATTCGGAGTGGCAGTCAAGCCTCCGTGGAAGAAGAAGAGTATGGTGGGACACTGGAGTACTTGCCACCCGAGGCCTTTGCTGACCCCTACAAGCCGACCCCTGGCACAGATGTCTACAGGTGAGTGCATGGAATGGGTGCAGTGAGGATGGCAGTTAGTAGTACACTTATCTGTAGCATCATAGATCTAAGGACAGTCTCACCTAGAGTTGCTCTACAGATCCATTTCATTAATGAAATGGATCCTAGAGCTGGAGGAGACCCCATGGCCATCCAATCCAACCTCATTATTATTATTATTATTATTATTATTATTATTATTATTATTATTATTATTTGAAACACAATAAGATGAGTCCACAGCAGACACTCTGCTAGCTGTTGTATTAGATCACATGTCGGACACTTCCCAAGTGTCTAGGACTGTGTGATGGATCGGTGATTAATGCGTGTACATCCGAGTAGAGTGGCCTTTTGTAGCTGAAAGATGGTAATTTTGTCAGTTCCAATTGTTTAAGTGCAGGCCAAGGTCTTTAGGCACTGCACCCAGTGTGCCGATCACCACTGGGACCACCTTGACTGGCTTGTGCCAGAGTCTTTGCAGTTCGATCTTTAAATCCTCATATCATGTCAGCTTTTCCAGTTGTTTCTCTTCAATCCTGCTGTCACCTGGGATTGCAACATCAACAATCCATACTTTTATTGACAAAGAAAAAACATGGCTGTGGCTCACAAATGGAACTCTGAAAAAGGAGACAAAGGAGGGCCTGATTCTGGCAGCCCAAGAACAAGCCATTAGAACCAATGCCATCAAAGCCAGAATTGAAAAGTTGACGACAGATCCCAAATGTAGACTCTGCAAGGAAGCAGATGAAACAATAGATCACATCCTCAGCTGCTGCAAGAAGATCGCGCAGACAGACTACAAGCAGAGGCATAACACCGTTGCTCAGATGATTAATTGGAACTTGTGCCACAAATACCATCTGCCTGCAACAAAGAACTGGTGGGATCACAAGCCGGAAAAAGTTACAGAGAATGAACATGTCAAGCTAGTCTGGGACTTCCGAATTCAGACAGACAGCCTTTTGGAGCACAATACTCCTGACCTCACGATTGTGTTTATTATTAGGTTCTTGTGGATTTTTTTCGGGCTATATGTCCATGTTCTAGAGGCATTTTTTCCTGATGTTTCGCCTGCATCTATGGCAAGCATCCTCAGAGGTAGTGAGGTATTTCTGAGGATGCTTGCCATAGATGCAGGCAGAACGTCAGGAAAAAATGCCTCTAGAACATGGCCATATAGCCTGAAAAAACCCACAAGAACCTAATGATTCCAGTCATGTTTATTATTATTTTTATTATTATTATTTTATCATGTCAGAAGTGAATTGTGGATACAGTTACAATGTATTTAAAAACACAAACAAAATTAAAAACTTGGCATTATACTAGATTTCCTTTGACTAGAAGCTGGCTACTTGGAGTACCACTGGTATCACTGTGAGAAGGTTCTCCATTGTGCATGTGGCAGGGCTCAGGCTGCATTGTAGTAAGTGGTCTGTGTTTGCTCTTTTCCACACTCATATGTCGTGGATTCCACTTTGTGACCCTATTTTTTTAAGGCTGGCTCTGCATCATGTGCCAGAGTGCAGTCTGTTCAGTGCCTTTCAAGTTGCCCAGTCTTCTGTGTGCCCAGGAGGGAGTTTCTCATCCAGTCTCAGCCACTGATTAAGGTTATGGATTTTAACCTGCCACTTTTAGATTCTCACTTGCTGAGGTGTTCCTGGGAGTATCTCTGTGCATCTTAGGAAGTTGTTTCTTGATTGAAGGCATTGGCATGCTGGCTGATATCCAAACAGAGGATGGGCCGGAGATGTTGCTGCCTTGGTCTTTTCATTACAGGCTGCTACTTCCTGATGGATGTCAGGTGGTGCAATACCAGCTAAACAGAATAATTTCTCCAGTGGTGTGGGACAGAGACATTCTGTGATAATGCAGCATGTCTCATTAAGAGTCACATCCACTGTTTTAATGTGGTGAGATGTATTCCACACTGGACATATGTATTCAGGAGCAGAGTAGCAAAGCACAAGAACAGATATCTTCACTGTGTCTGGTTGTGATCCCTAGTCAGCTTTCATATGATATGATTCCTAACACCCACTTTTTGCTTGATATTCAAGTAGTGCTTCTTGTAAGTCAGAGCATTGTACTAGTAACTTCCAGGTATTTTGGTGTGCTGCAATGCTCCAGTGCAGTGGTTATAAACCTTTTTTTGACCAGGGACCACTCTCCCACATTAGTTCTCAAATGGTTACAAATCAGTTTTTGGTCAACTTTAGATTTGGTTTGGGATGCTGATTCAGAAAATTGCATTGGATAGACCACATCAGCTCTTGTTTCTGATGCAGAACATATTCCATGGTCAGCAACAGGGAAGGAGTGGAAGGCCGCACAAAAGGAGCAGAAATAAAATAAAATAAATAAAGAGGAAGGAGACTCATTAGACCAGATTTTTGTCCTTGTGGCCCACTGGTGGTCTGTGACCCACAGGTTAAGAACCACTGCTCCAGTGAGATTCCTTCCCAGGTAATCCTCAGAGCTCAAGATGCTTGTCTGTTCTATTGATGCAGAAGAGAGAATTTTAAAAGCAGTTGCTTGCCACACAAGCAGGTCACAAGTATCCATTGTCGAAATCTCTCTTCTACACAACCATTAAAGTTCAGAAGCCTCCTAAGGCCACCTTCATCTTACCTCCACTCAAAAACCACCAGCAAGAAACAGATGACCCACAAGGTAGATCCAATAAGACCACAACATTGGCAGGCAGAGCCATGGCATTTGCCTCCCAATAGTTAGCCCTGCTTCAAAGACAAGCTTCCTTGGCGTTCAACCTCCCTACTCATAGGAGCTCCTCAGAAGCTCGGGTGTTGGAACCATTGAAAATGGCCTTCTTGGAGAACAGGAAGGGCTTTGCTAAGTGGGAAGGCATTCTTTCTTGGCTCTAATCCACTTCTGTCTTTCAGCTATGGGATCGTCACATGGTCCTTGTTATCAGGCGAGGAGCCTTATTCAAGTGAGTTTTCTTGTTCTGTTATGGTTCCTTTCTATCTGGGAGCCCTCCACATTTGCTTGGGTTAGAGGCAACGAACCACTGCAAAAGTGGGGAAAAATAAAAATATATATGTTATTTTCTCTTTCTCCTTCTTCTTCTTCTCCTTCCCCCTTCTTCTTCTTCTTCTTCTTCTTCTTCTTCTTCTTCTCCTCCTTCTCCTCCTTCTCCTCCTTCTTCTCCTTCTTCTCCTCCTTCTCCTTCTCCTCCTCCTCCTCCTCCTCCTCCTCCTCCTCCTCTTCTCCTTCTCCTTCTTCTTCGTATTATTATTATTTTACTGACACAAAAACACAGTATGACAAAGCAAACAAGATATATATAAGGTAAAGGTAAAGGTTTCTCCTGACATTAAATCCAGTTGTGTCCGACTCGGGTGTGGTGCTCATCTCCATTTCTAAGCCGAAAAGCCATCGTTCTCCATAGACACCTCCAAGGTCATGTGGCCAGCATGACTGCATGGAGCGCCGTTACTTCCCGCTGGAGCGGTACCTATTGATCTACTCCCATTTCCATGTTTTCGAACTGCTAGGTTGGCAGAAGCTGAGGCTGACAGCGGAAGCTCACACCGCTCCCCGGATTTGAACCTGCGACCTTTCGGTCAACAAGCTTAGCAGCTCAGTTGTTTAACCCACTGTGCCACCGGGGGCTCCTATATATATAGTGGATTATTATTATTATTATTATTAGCCTGGAGCCCCCAGTGGCCTCCTATATATATACTGGATGATGATGGTGATGATGATGATGATGATGATTATTAGCCTAGAGCCCCTGGTGGTGCAGTGGGTTGAACCCCTGTGCTGGCAGGACTGAAGACCGACAGGCCGCAGGTTCAAATCTGGGAAGAGCGTGGATGAGCTCCCTCTGTCAGCTCCAGCTCCCCATGCAGGGACATGAGAGAAGCCTCCCACAAGGATGGTAAAAACATCAAAACATCCTGGCATCCTCTGGGCAACATCCTTGCAGATGGCCAATTCTCTCACACCAGAAGCGACTTGCAGTTTCCCAAATTGCTCTTGACACACAAAAAAAAGTCTGCGTGATCACCTCTCTAAGGATCTCCAGTTATTCCAGTGCAACTCAGTGATACACTTTAGCTCTAAAGTCTCAGTGAGGGACCTAGAGATGCCTAGAGAAAATGTATTAAATGTATTAATCAAATCCACAAAAAAAATGAAATCTGCAAATGTGGAGGGCCAACTGTATGTGTGTCTGTGTATATTCATATATCTTAGTGTGCTTATTTACTGACGGCTACCATCTGTGCCTACCCAGATCTCCCTGATGCCTTGCGTTCTCTTATCAAATTACACATTCCCCGGAGCGAGAGGCCAAGTACAGAGAAGCTGGAGAAGATCGTTGATGTGCTGAAAGTACAAGATGTGGTCAAACTTATGAAACGGTGCTGGCACAATGACAAAGTCCAAAGGCCATCCTTCAGAGGTAATAAAAGGGACATTTTGCAAACTAGAGGCTGGGTGGAGCTGTAGGACAGTTGAATTTCCTTCTGTACAAAAAATGAAGTTGGGGGTGCACTTGTTTAAATAATAAACTTTCTGAGCCAAAGAAATAAGTCATTTCATTAAAGACCCCATCTACACAGTAGATTTATTGCAGTTTGACCCCATTTTAACTGCCGTGACAAGCATACTTGGCAGTTGAGTAAGACAAGGCCAGGTCTAATGATCTTATTAATTTTGGGTCTGCACCCCATGCCAGTAAGTTTCTGCAGGATGCTATTGTGTGCAGCTACTTTGTGCTTGGTGTTCATACAGCAGTGTTTCTCAACCTGGAGGTCGGGACCCCTGGGGGAGTTGCAAGGGGGTGTCAGAGGGGTGGCCAAGGACCATCAGAATTTTCTGTTGGTCATGGGGGTTCTCTGTGGGAAGTTTGGCCCAATTCTCTCATTGGTGGGGTTCAGAATGCTCTTTGCTGTAGGTGAACTATAAATCCCAGCAACTACAACTCCCAAGTATCAAGATCTATTTTGCCCAAATTCCACCAGGTTTTCAAATTTGGGGATATTGAGTATTTTTGTCAAGGTTGGTCCAGATCTATCATTATTTGAGTCCACTGACCCCTTCCAGTATTTTCTGTTGGTCACAGGAGTTCTGTGTGCCAAGTTTGGTTCAATTCCATCATTGGTGCAGTTCACAATGCTCTTTGATTGTAGGTGAACTATAAATCCCAGCAACAAAAACTCTCGAATGACAAAATTAACTCTACCCCGCACCCCACCAGTATTCAGATTTGGGTGTATTTGTGCCAAATTTGGTCCAGTGAATGAAAATACACGCTGCATATCAGATATTTACATTATGATTCATAACAGTAGCAAAATGACAGTTATGAAGTAGCAACGAAATAATGTTATGGTTGGGGGTCACCACAACATGAAAAACTGTATTAAGGGGTCATTGGGAAGGTTGAGAAACACTGTGAGATATTTTGGATGAAAGCGATAGAATCGTGAGAGCAGTAGTTTTACAAGGCAATTTTGTCTAATAGCCTCAGATTGAAAACACACAATAAATACTGTTGTCCTGAATGGTCTTCAAAATGATTTCGAGCTTTCCTTTCATTGCGTTGTTTGTATGTCCATGTGAATTCCAGTTCAAATCGTTCTATAATTTGAGATGCCTAAAACATAAATTGGCAAATGGAACAAAAATGAACATTACTTCCTCTAACTGTCTCTTTTTCCATTTTGCTCAGATTGCAGGGAAGAGATGGAGGCTGTATCTTCCTGCTATCAAGGGCACATCATGGCTGCTGTCCACGAAGTTCAGAATATTTTGGTAAGTGGRAAGAAAACTGTGGAAATTCTGGGTGTACTTTTGCATCCAGCCACCAAACAGCAAGAGTGCTCTGACTATTGATTTTTCCCTTTCTCCTTTCTCCAGCAAACATTTTAGGATATATCAGAATGTGATYCCCCCCCCCCCCCCAATGCCTATATGAAGCTATCTGGGAGCGACAATGGCAGCAATATGGAKATGATTTGTCTCTTTTTTCCCTGTGATGTGCTGTTTCAAGATGTCTACACACATTTATATGAAAGACAGCATTATGGACTCTTGTACCAAAATTAGACAGCTTTCTTTTGTCTATCTACTCTTTTATGCGAGATGTACTTAGTTGGTAGACAAAAGTAAGTTTTAGAACTTTACTGGAGCAACCTTTGTATTTTCTCTCCTGTTTGCTACTATAAACTCATATATAGCACTGGCTACGCTGCATTTTCCTTTGCTATCGATTCCAAATAGTCCTACAACGTTGGCGTTTTGGGCAAATTCCAGACCATCCTCTGACTCTTCCTAATTCAGAACTAATTTAGATTACCTCTGACCCTTTCTCCACTGCCATATAAAATCCAGATTATCTTCTTTGAACTGGATTATATGCATGTAGACTCATATAACTAAGTTCAAAGAAAATAATGTGGATTATCTGCTTTGATAATCTGTATTATATAGCAGTGTAGAAGGAGCTCTATCCTGCAGTACCCACCAGAAATTAAGAAACTCAGGAATGAACACAGAAAGATTGCAGGTTATTAATCCTATGTAGACAAGCCCATGATTTATTTAGAAGAGGAGAAAGTCTTTCTGTGGAATCGAAAGATGGAGGAGAGTTTTTCTCGTGATGGACACATTCCCTTAAAGTTAATCTGTCAAAGAGCATATGCTTCAGGGTCCATCTGTGCCAAGCATGGGCAAAATTTGGCCCTTCAGGTGTTTTGGACACAATTCCTAACAGCCAGCAAACTGTTAGGAATAGTGGGAGTTGAAGTCCAAAACACCTGGAGGGCCACAGTTTGCCCATGCCTGATCTATGCTGTCGAATTAATATGCTGTAGAATTAACCCTAACCATAAACTGCCTTGAGTCACTCATGGGCTGAGAAAGGCAGTATACAAATAGAGTAAACAAATAAATAATAACCAATAAATTGGATACCACTTTAAGTGCCATTGCTCAATGCTATGGAATTATGGGAACTGTAGTTTGGTGAGGCACCTGCATTTTTTGGCATAGTTGTCTAAAGACCTTGTAAAATGACAACTCCCATGGTTCCAGAACATGGAGTGAGGGCAGATAAAGTAGTGTCAAACTTCATTAAGTCTACAATGTAGATGCATCCTATGTTAACAAAAGCCATCTTTGTTGTAGGTCAGCCAGGGGCTGATGGGTTCACTGATGATTCCAAAGGGATTGTGGGATTTCCTGGGGTTCAAAGTGTTGAATATCCAGGCCAGGTTCAAAATGAAGAAGTTTCTGGCCTGGGAAATGAAACTGGTTCAGACAGTGCAGAGCTCCAAGGTCATAGAGTGCAACCAGAAATAACATCATTAGATAAGGGGTCGAGTGAAGAGCTAAGTGAAATGGAAAGCTCTGTACCTGGTGGTATGGAGATTAGCAAAAATCTTCATTTACAGTTCAGAGCAGAAAACAGGCTCCATAGGTCCACGAGATTATATGGGAAAGAGATAAAGAAAATTCATGGGAAAGGACATGATTTCATGACTGCTTATGAACAGCCAGTGTTTACCTTAAAGTTAGTTTAGGGCAATGTTGGCTTTTGAGTAAGAAGCTAGGTCTGAGTTCCCTAGTCATTGTGTCAAGTCAAGTCTTGGTTTTAGATTCAAGTATTCTTCAAGTTTTCTATGTTCTTGTTTTATGATTCCTGCTCAAGTTTTATTAAGTATACCTTTGGCTTATGGATTTATTCTGTACTTGTGATTTTTGGCTATTCCTCGACTGTGTTACCTTTTGATTTTTTATGAGACATTTGGATTCCTGTGTGGCTATCAACTATTGCTAAACCTTTTTTTGGATCTCTCCTTTACTTATTCCCGGCTTTTTCATATATTTTATGTGTTTTTTAACAATAAGCTGTTTGCTTATACTCTTGACCAGGTCCGTAGCCAGGATTTCGTTTCGGGGGGGGGGGGGGGGGCTGAGTCTACCCTAGCGAGGGTCTAACCAAGCAAAACTTTTTTATTGTTACCCCAATACCCCCATGCATATGGGATATATTGAGTATGTTGATCAGATCATGATATGAATAAACATAACAGTTTAAATAATGCACCAGTAAGGCCTTTTCGCGAACCACCATGAGAATTTCGGGGGGGGGGGAGGGGCTCCCAACCCCCCCCCCCCCCCCGGCTACATGCCTGCTCTTGACTCTTGTGTGGTGGCTCCAGGCTTCATAAAGATTGACATTCCCCTCCTTCAATCTTTGGAACTAATTTCTTCTTACCTTTTTTAAAGGTGCAGAAAAAAAGTTCCTTAAGTTCAACATCAAAGAGAGACAGTCTGACCCCTCGTTGTTCAGACAAGGTAGACCTCCCATCGTCACTCAACACATATTCAAAGAAGGTGGAATATCAGCCACCACTTGACACATCAGTTGGAATAGAGGATCATTTCAAAACATTGCGAGTTGAAGAATCTTCATATAGGCCAAATGGTGAGTACAAATGGGGTTGTAATTTTAGGATTATAACGAAGCCAGAGTGGCATAGTGATTTGAGCATTGGATTATAACTCTGGAAAACAGGGTTCGAATTCCTGCAAATAACAGGAAATGGAACACATTAAACATTTGAAATAATTTCTTGATAGTATTTATTTATTTACAGTATTTATATTCCGCCCTTCTCACTCTAAAGGGGATTCAGGGTGGATCACAATGCACACATACAAGGCAAACATTCAATGCCATTTTTAGACATACAAGACAGGCAGACAGATAGAGGTGTTTTTGGCATTTCCAACTTTGGTGCCTGGAGGTTATGTTTGATTCTGGCCACAGGAGGGTGCTGTCACTTCATCCACTATGATGCCGGGTAATTTTATTGTATTTCCTTCTTGTTCTTTGATTGCCAGCATTTTTATGGTGTTGTAAAATACCTCTTCGCTTTAAGCGGTCCCTAATTACTCTATTCACATCTCAGCTGTTTTCAAACTGCTTAGGTGGACAGTAAGCTTGGCTTAACAGTCAGGCACTCAATCTGAGTCGGGCTTCAAACTTGCCACCTTCCGGTCGGCAGTGATCTATTGCTGCTGTTTTTTTTTTGTCATGTCAGGAGTGACTTGAGAAGTTGCAAGTCGCTTCTGGTGTGAGAGAATTGGCCGTCTGCAAGGACGTTGCTCAGGGGACGCCCGGATGATTTGATGTTTTTATCATCCTTGTGGGAGCATTCTCTCATGTCCCCGTATGAGGAGCTGGAGCTGATAGAGGGATCTCATCTGCCTCTCCTTGGATTCGAACCTGCGACCTGTCGGTCTTCAGTCCTGCTGGCATAGTGGTTTAACCCACTGCGTCACCGGGGGCTCAATTGCTGCTGGTGATGAACCAGCTGTGATACAGCACGGCCTGTTTGACAATGAAATTTGCTGCCTCAGAGTGGAGTCTTTCTCTCTGGAGGTTTTTAAACAGAAGCTGAGTGGCCATATGTTGGGAATGCTTGGATTGGGCACATTCTACAGACAAATGGGGTTGGACTGGTTGCCCGTTGGGGTCTCTTCCAGCAATATGATCCTATGAATACTTATTGGGTGACCTTGGAGAAGTCATACACTCTTAGCCCTATAGAACTCCATATTAAGTCCCCCCTAAAGTTGCCGTAAGTCGGCAATGACTTGAAGGCATACAACAACAATAGAAGACCTATATATATGGAACACTGTTGTGTCCTCACCCAAAAAGGGGGCTCATGGGTGTTACAGTCAAAAAGAGGTAATGTTTTCAAGCTTTGCCAAAATCATAGAATTATAGAGTTGGAAGAGACCTTGTGAGCCATCCAGTCCAACCCCCTGCCAAGAAGCAGGAAAATCACATTCAAAGCACCCCCGACAGATGGCCATCCAGCCTCTGTTTAAAAGCCTCCAAAGAAGGAGCCTCCACCACACTCTGGGACAGAGAGTTCCACTGCTGAACAGCTCTCTCTCACAGTCAGAAAGTTCTTCCTCATGTTCAGGTGGAATCTCCTTTCTTTCCTGTAGTTTGAAGCCGTTGTTCCACATCCTAGTCTCCATGGCCAGAAAACAAGCTTGCTCCCTCCTCCCTATGACTTCTCCTCACATGTTGATACATGGCCCTCATCATGTCTCCTCTCCACCTTCTCTTCTTCAGGCTAAACATGCCCAGCTCTTTAAGCCGCTCCTCATAGGGCTTGTTCTCCAGACCCTTGATCATTTTAGTCGCCCTCCTCTGGACATATTCCAACTTGTCAAAATCTTCAGCTGTTGTCAACGAAATGAAAATAATCAGCTTACCAATAATTCCATTATTTCATTTCAGAAGCTACACCTCCAGCGACTGTTTCCAAAACAAGACAAGAAGGGAAACCTCCAGCACCGACGCCTCTTCAACGTAGCCAGAGTGAATACATTGAGAAAGTAAGGCCATGACAACTAACAATGGAAGGAACATGTGTGACCTTTTTAACTAGGGCCAAAACTGAGTTTATTTATAGTTAGGTAACTCATTGTTGGAAAAGACGTTAAGCCATCTACAGTGTCGAACGAATGCAGTTTGACACTACTTTAACTGCTCTGGCTCAATGCTGTGGAATCATGGGAGTTGTAGTTTGGTAAGGCTAGATAGTATGAAACTATTATTAGAAATAGCAACCTTCTAAAAGACTCCTATACTAGTTATTTGTTATGTATATAATTCAGATTGCTTTCTGTATTATATATGTGTATATTGGTATGCAGTTTTCCTTAACTCTATGTTGTGGGAGGAACAACAGACCATGTGACCAGATCTGGGACTATTTCGATCACAGACTCCATTTTAGAACAGCGAGATGCTTTAAACTTTTAAGATTATAAATAAGATGTCTTGTGTTATTTGCACAAAGAAACTATTTCAAATCTGTCTATAATTGGATTGATAATCAATGTATCTGTTGCAACCCAGAGCAGGAAATGAGACCCTAAGATAACAATCCACCACACTTGATTGTGGGAAAAACAATCCCTTTTTATTGATGAAAAATGATTACAAAATAGAGAAAATGCAAAGTCAAAAAGCCACAGTAAAAATCAGCAATCAGAAATATCCATGAATTAGATCAAAAACCAAAAGCAACACTGTAAAATCCTGGAACCTGTTAGCAATCCACTAATCATACTTGGAGAACTAGAAGCCTCTTGGGATGAAGGCCACGGGAAATGGGAGATCTGCCAAGATAATGCCTCAGTCTAAAATGATGCCTGATCTAAAGAATCAACCTGGTGAGAGGCACTTAAAGCCGAGGAAACTGTTTCGTGACACGCCTCCAGGCTTTGAAGCCCTTGTTTCTTTTTCTTTTAATCTGGTTGACCTTCGCAGACGCTGCGATTCACTCCTGTTTTTCCAAATCTGTCCTCTTCTATCCTCATTAAGGATCCCAGGTGTTAGCTTCTCTGGAGAGCTATCACCGCTTGGCTCTGAAACATTCTCATGAGAATGCGTACTTTCACTTTCCAAGCCTTCCAAGCCTGTAAGAGTTTCTTCTACACTGACCTCAGAATCAACATTTTCATTAGCATCAGGAAATACATTTTCAGTAGCATCAGGAAATACAATCAGAGAATCAGGTTCAGGTTCACACCCAGGCTGAACCCCAACAGTACCTGTATGCTGAATACATGAAGTTTGTAAGTAAACCAACTATGTTATTTTTAACGAAGACTACTTAATTTTGTTTCTTGCAAGCATGATTTTAAACCAAATATATTTTATGAGAGAGTAGATGTTTTTGAAACTCTGCTGTTTTTGTGTATTGGCATAATCTTTATTCCTAACAGTTCAAAGAGATATCCAGGTGTAACGATTCGTGAAGATGCCACTAATTTGTGATGAGGCCACCAATTTGTAAACGTTTGTAAAGGAGCAACCACTTTGTAAGGGTTTATTAATTTGATAGCATAGCTAATAGCTAGTGATATCGACTTGGTCTTTCTTTAAGGTGTAGTGTGACTTAACTTGGAAAGGAATTGTAACAGAGACCGGGCTTTAGGAAAAACAGTAACAAGTTTATTGAAATGTAGAAGGAGCGTGATGGTTTCAATGTTTCTTACTCTTAGAGACACATATCTTCAGAGGTTACATTTATAACATTCCTTAACTCTGGAAAGGACTCTTCCTTCCACTAAACAGGTTTCAAACTTATTTTTCTTCAAACTGTGTTTCTTTCTTTAATAGATTACTTCAGTTACAAGTTTATTCTTTCTTTGTGATGTTCCTGTTGCAATAGAGATTCTCACTGAGTTTCTCTCACCCTTTCTCTCATACACTAACTATTAATATAAATAAATCAACTCGACTTATTTAAACTACTCAGGCTAAAAACCAAAACCTTCCTGATTCTCACTACTATAGAACCAGCCTTTCCCTGTAGTTTTTAAACTACAGATTACCTTCCTGGTTCTCACTACCCAGCAGAACCAGCCACTCCTACAGTTCACAGACTGCAGACTAACTGTTTTAAAATGGCTGCCCTGCCAAGTGGCAGTTGGCTCCGCCCCTGTTTCCAGGGTAACCCAGCTTAACATGAGCTGAGCTGGCTACCATCCCCTTTACTTATGCAACTTTAAATACTTACCCTTTAAACATCTATCTATAATTATACATAACTGCAAGTTAAACATTTACACTTCACCACACCAGGTATATCAGTCTAACAACTGAGAAACCCAATTTTCTTTGCATAAATACTAGTGGATATTTACCACTAAGAAAAATATTCACTTAAATTAATATTTAACTCTTCTCAGGAAGATCATACTTTACAATAGATTATGGTTGTTCCAAATAGTGTGAATGCCAATTAATCTCCAAAGGGTCATGCTTCCAAAAAGCTTTGGAGAGTCTGGTTTTCCAAAAGGTTATGATCTCAAAGATCATGCTTTTCCAAAAAACTACAACTCTCAGGATTCAATAGCATTAAGTGAAGACAATAACAACAACAACAACAACAACAACAATCTTAATATCCCATTTTTCTCCCTCATGGGACCCAAGGCAACTTACAACATATTAAAATCATGTAAACAACAATCCAAATACATTGATAATAAGTATAAAACATCATAAAATAAGCAGTTTAAAACAACAATAATATAAATTCATGTTCTTGTCAGATTATATTGCAGCAGTCCATAAACATTATGGTGTTTCTTATCACTCTGGCTTAGTTTCCTTCACTAAAGGTCTGTCTAAACAGGAAAGTTTTTAATTGGTTTTTGAGAGAAGAAAGGGAGGAAGCAGTAGTTAAAGTGGTTTCAAACTGCATTAATTCTACAGCATAGATGCACCCTRGAAAAAATAAGGCCAAGCTGATGAGGACCTCATCTACTGATCAAAGTTGGCATGAGAAGAAACACTTCTATATACATGAACTGAATGTTTAGGGGTTTGGTAGAAGAGGCTGTTCCCATTTACACAAATGTTTTTCTTCTTCTAGGAAAACGAGGAGGCAAGCTATGAAGAGTCCCATCAGCCAGAAGTGAAATTTCGGGATCGGCTTAAGCCCGCAGGTCTTTCTTTGCCTTCTTCCAGCCGGGATAGATTGCTKTTTTGGTTGCATAATGTAGATGAGGAGGGCATATTTTAGTTGACTAGAATCATAGAATCATAGAGTTAGAGGAGACCTCATGAGCCATCCAGTCCAACCCCCTGCCAAGAAGCAGGAAAATTGCATCCAGAGCACCCTTGACAGATGGCCATCCAGTCTCTGCTTAAAAGTTTCCAAAGAAGGAACCTCCACCACACTCCAGGGCAGAGAGTTCCAATGTTGAACAGCTCTCCCAGTTAGGAAGTTCTTCCTAATGTTCAAGTGGAATCTCCTTTCATTCCTGTAGTTGTTTCATGCATCCTGGTCTCCAGGGCAGCAGAAAACAAGCTTGCTCCCTCCTCCCTATGACTTCCCCATATTTCTCCATGGCCTTCATCATGTCTCCTCTCAGCCTTTTCTTCTGCAGGCTAAACATGCCCAGCTCTTTAAGCCACTCCTCATAGGGCTTGTTCTCTAGACCCTTGATCATTTCAGTTGTCCTTCTCTGGACACATTCTAGCTTGTCAACATCTCCCTTCAATTGTGGTGCCCAGGATGGTCTTAACTGACTAAAATCAGTTAGGACAAATTGAAACACAAAAAGTGCATCCACACTGTAGAATTAATCCCAATTGACACCACTGCTATGGTTCACTGCTTTGGACACCTGGGAATTGCCATTTCAGGAGATCTCTAACCATCTCTGCTGGTGCTTCACCAACTATAACTCCCATGAGACCTTACCAAACTACAATTCCCAGGAACCCATAGCATTGAGCCAGAGCAATTAAAATGGAGTCAAACTGCATTAAATTGACAGTGTAGATGCACTCAGCATCTTTGTTCCTGAAATCAGGCGAAGGACTAAATATAGCCAAAAGGCTAAACCTTGCCTTGAGTCATCTCCTAATAAGGAAGTTGCCCAACGAGTTAAGATAAAGATTCTAGCATGTGGGAAACCACTTTGCAAGAGGAACTGTAATTTATTTTTCTTCTCTCTCATTTGCATCCTAAAGATGGCAGACCTCCTCGGCCCCATTCGTACACTTATCTCTACCCACGTTATTCATCTGGATATCAACACTATCCACAGGTAAGAGAAAGTTGGGGTCCAATATCAGGGTACGATATCAGTGTTAACATGGCTAGGGGAACTGTAGTGGACTGAAGGATAATTGTGAAAAGTTACCCAAGGGTGCATCTACACCAGGCATGGGAAAACTTACTAACTTGGGGGCTGCATGGCGGGCCAGAGTGAGGTGGGTGGGCTGGGAGGGAGGGGGGTTCCCCAATTCCCCTCCCTGCCCTTTCCTCTCCTTCTTCTCTTTTGGAAGCAGAAAGTGAAGGAAAGACAGGAAATATTTGGATCCCAAAAAGTGTTGGCATTGGTCAGGATGAGATGGTGGATGGGAGAGAAAATGTGTATCCATTAGACCCCATACTGCCTAATCCTAGACCTGAAGAGACCCCCCAAGGGCCATCCAGTCCAACCCCCTGCCATGCAAGAAGGCACAATCAAAGCACTCCTGATAGACAGCCCCTGCGGAAAAGCCTCCAGAGAAGGAGACTCCACCACACTCCGACGCAGCCTATGCCACTCTCCAGGAAGTTCTTCCTAATCCTTTTAGTTGAATTTATTTCCCTGCCATTTGAAACCATTGCTCCCTTGTGCCCTGGTCTTTAGAGCAGCCCCCCCCCCTCCTCCTCTTCCTCCTCAATAGGACACCCTTTGAAATCTTAAAACATGGTTCTCATGGTCTCTCTCAATTGTTTCTTCTCCCAGTTAAACATCCCCCAGGAGGAAAGGAGGAAGGAAAAAGAGAAGAAAGGAAGGGAGGGGGGAAAAGAATGGAAGGAAGGGTGGAAGGGAATGGAGGGAGGGAGGGAAGGAGGGAGAGAGGGGAGGAAGGAAAGAGAGAAGGAAAGACAAAAGAGAAGGAAGGAAGGAAGGAAGGAAGGAAGGAAGGAAGGAAGGACAAAAGGGTGGAAGGGAAGGAGGGAGGGAGAAATAGAGAGGGAAAGAAGGGATGGAAGGGGGATGTAAAACGAGAAGGAAGGAAGGGAGGGAGAAAAAGAAGACTGGAATGGTGGAAGGGAATGGAGGGAGGGAGGGGGAGGAGGAAGGAGAGAAGGAAGGAAAGACAAAAGGAAGGAAGGAAGGAAGGAAGGAAGGAAGGTAGGAGAGAGAGGGAAGAGGGAGGAAGGAAAGAAGGGGAAGGAAGGAAGAAAGGAGAGAGAGGGAAGGAGGGAGGAAGGAGAGAACAAAGGAAGGACAAAAGGGTGGAAGGGAAGGAAGGAGGGAGGGAGAAAGAGGGAGGGAGGAAGAAGGGATGGAAGGAAGAAGAAAAAAGAGAGAAAGGGGGAGGGAGAAAAAGAAGGGGTGGAAGGGAATGGAGGGAGGGGGAGGAGGAAAGAGAGAAGGAAGGAAAGACAAAAGGAAGAAGGAAGGAAGGAAGGTAGGAGAGAGAGGGAAGAAAGAGGGATGGAAGGAAAGACAAAAGGGAAGGAAGGAAGGAGAGAGAGAGGGAAGGAGGGAGGAAAGAGGGAACAAAGGAAGGACAAAAGGGTGGAAGGGAAGGAAGGAGGGAGGGAGAAAGAGTGAGGGAGGGGAAGAAGGGATGGAAGGAGGAAGGAAAAAGAAGGAAGGAAGGAAGGAAGGAAGGAAGGACTGGATGGTGAGAGGGTCTGAGAAAAGAGCCCAAGAGGCTGCATCTGGCCCCCAGGCCTGGGTTTGACCATACCTGATCTACACTGTAGAATGAATGTAGTCTGACACCACTTTAACTCTCCTGTTTTCAGTATATGTGTTTACCATCCCACCAAGTGGATTTTGGATCAGCATTTCAAGATCATTCCCTTCTGCCACATTTTGGCCGCAGAGTGCCATGTGAGTATCCTATAGGAAAATAACACAACCTTCATTGTCACAGCCTATCTTGGGGTGCATCTGCACTGTATAATGAGTGTCATGTGAGTGAGTATCTTATAGGAAAATAACACAACCCTCATTGGCACAGCTGACCATGGGGTATGGGGAACAACTGCACTATAAAATGAATGAAGTTTGATCCCACTTCAACTGCCATGGCTCAGTGGTATGGAATCCTGGGAGTTATAGTTTGTTGAGGCACCAGCGTTCTGTGGCAGAGCTTGTAAAACTACAACTTCCAGGATTCCATAGGATTGAGCATGACAGTAAAATGGTATCAAACCTCATTCATTCTATAGTGTATGGAGCCCCCGGTGGCGCAGTGGGTTAAACCCCTGTGCCGGCAGGACTGAAGACCGACAGGTCGTAGGTTTGAATCCGGGGGGAGGCGGATGAGCTCCCTCTATCAGCTCCAGCTCCTCATGCGAGGACATGAGAAAAGCCTCCCACAAGGATGATGAAACATCAAATCATCCTGGTGTCCCCTGGGCAACGTCCTTGCAGATGGCCAATTCTCTCACACCAGAAGTGACTTGCAGTTTCTCAGGTCGCTCCTGACATGACAAAAAATAAAATAAAATTCTATAGTGTAAATGTTCCCTTTCTCTCCCTGAGCTGCCAAGAACAATTTCTTCTCTCTTCTGCAGATGCAGATGGCGACATCCACATCTCCGGACACGGCATCTCGGGAGTCCAGATTGGACACCATAACTCTATGCACATCGGACGGACTCAGACACCTAGAGAAAAGCAATAGCTAGCAATGCAGAGTGTGGATGGTTTCCGATAGACAATTCCCTTTTCTTGGCTTGGAAGGTCATTTGGTCCAAATCCAAATACCATCATTCTTGCCTCCACTGGTTTGCCATCCAACTACTTTGCATAATTGTGTAAAAATGATAGTTTAGGCCAAAGAACTTTGTGATGTATTGATTGGAAATCCGTTGCTCACCTACCTTGATATATACATTTGTGGGACCATTCTAAAAAAAAAAAGTTTGGAACCTCTCTGGACAATGTCATATGAATAGTTTTTGAGATTTACGCTCCGCCAGCAAATGTCCTGAAACTTGGTCAATCTTCGCTTCATAGAATCATAGAGTTGGAAGAGACCTCATGGGCCATCCAGTCCAACCCCCCCTCCCGCCAAGAAGCAAGAATATTGCATTCAGAGCACCCCTGACAGATGGCCATCCAGCCATCTGGATTTAAAAACTTCCAAAGAAGGAGCCTTCACCACATTCCACTGCTGAACGGCTCTCACAGTCAGGAAGTTCTTCCTAATGTTGAGATGGAATCTCCTTTCTTGTATTTGAAGCCATTGCTTCGTGTCCTAGTCTCCAGGGAAGCAGAAAACAAGCTTGCTCCCTCCTCCCTGTGACTTCCTCTCACATATTTATACATGGCTATCGTATCTCCTCTCAGCCTTCTCTTCTTCAGGCTAAACATGCCCAACTCTTTCAGCCACTCTTCATAGGGCTTGTTCTCCAGACCCTTGATCATTTTAGTCGCCCTTCTCTGGACACATTCCAGCTTGTCGATATCTCTCTTGAATTGTGGTGCCCAGAATGGGACACAATATTCCAGATGTGGTCTAACCAAAGCGGAATAGAGGGGTAGCATGACTTCCCTAGATCTAGACACTATGCTCCTATTGATGCAGGCCAAAATCCCATTGGCTTACCTCATTTGGAAGTGTGTTCCATAGGCGTGAGGCCACAGCAGAGAAGGCCCTGTCTCTCGTCCCCACCAGACGCATCTGTGCTGTTGACGGGAGCGAGAGCAGGGCCTCTCCAGATGATCTTAGATTACGAGGTGGGATGTAGGGGTGGATGTGTTCGGACAAGTAAGCTGGGCCAGATCCACCTCAGACATTACGACAGACATTATCATGTGCATCAGCTCAATGGCTCTGACCACTCTAAAAGTACAGTGCATTCCCCTTTTTCATGGACTCACTATCCATGGATTCACTTACCCAGAGTCAAAAAGAAATATAACCCCTGGAATTCTTTGTGGGTGTCTCTAGAAATTATGTTTTCATTTCTTCATGTATGTACAACATTGAATTTTGCTATTATTATGTTGGAAACTGCTTTGAGTCCCTTCAGAGGTGAGAAAAGTGGTATATAAATACAGTAAATAATTAAATAATTAAGTAATTAAATAAATGTCCTCCAGTGTGATTCTATGGTATGCTTCCAGTTCAAGTGTATTCCTAATAGAGAGTTTTCTGTTATCTGTGATTTCTAGGATCCATGTTGCATGTGTGTGACAGGAAACATATTCTCCACAAATATGGAGTTTGTACTCTAGATGGTCGAGAATAAAATATACAGTTGGCTCTCCATATATCTGTTGTACTCCAGGCCTAGAAACACCTATGACCACTGCACCACACAAGAATCCAAGAATATAAGTAAACAGTTTATTGCATAAACACATAAAATGCATATAAAAATTAGGAATAAGAAAAGTAGATATATAATCCAAAAAGGTTTAGCAACAAGTGATAATCAAACAGTAATCCAAATGTCTCATAAAGATCCAGAGGTGACACAGTCCAGGAACAGCCAGAAATCACAGGTACAGCATAAGTCCACAAGCAAGAAGGTATGACTAGTAAAAATTTGAACAGGAATGCAAGAACAAGAACATAGAAAACTTCCAGGATATTTAAATCCAAAACCAAGGCTTGACYTGAACCAAGAACTAGAGAACTCAGACTTAGCTTCTCCCTATAACACTACATTGCCTGAACTGACCTTAAGGTAAACAACTTGCTGTTTAATAGACACCCATGAAATCATTCCATTTCCCATGAATTTTTTCCACAACTTTCCCACGTAATCTCTGAATGACACAATCTACATTCTGCTTTGATCWGAAATGAAGACTTTTGTTGATCTCCATAAATATTTTTGTTAGATTATGGCGTTTMTTTGTTAATTGTTTAATGTTGTTGAGTCTGACGTTTGTATGATGTGTTTTTAATTGATTGTAGATTGTTGTTATAATTTACTGTAAACCGCATTGAGTCGCCTGTCAAGGCTGAAAAATGCGGTATAGAAATGAAGCAAATAAATAAATAAATAAATAAATAAATAAATAAATACAGGTAGTTTCTCCTGGGAACCCTCCTTATCACCCAGCTCCTCACTTGATTCCTTATCTGCTGTTGCTACTTCTGACTCCCCTTGAGGTCCTGTACTTTCCGAGCAGTTTTCTCACAGAGAGAACCATCATTTCCCAGACTTCAATTTCCCAAACTTGAGGGCTTATCATGTTGTGCCACAGGAAAGCCCACAATCCTCTCTAAATCATCAGTTAAACCATCAGCCTCTGGCTGACCTACAACAATATCCGGGTTTGAGTTTTGTGGATTAATCACAGATTTGATTAAAACGTTCTCTAAGAATGTATAATCTTGCAGTGTGATCCTATGGTTTTGAGCTTCACTGGAGGGCCTAGATATTCCAAGCAAATCTCTAGAACCTCCAGTGCAATTCTATGGTGAATTTCCCTTGCACTGGAGGATCTACAAATGTCTCCTAATTCAGAGAAAGCAATTTTTCATTCACAGTCTTCCACTTTCACAAGGATCCTGGATCGCTAAATCGAGGATATATGAAGGGTTGACTGTAGATGTGTGGCTGTGGGTACCTTCAAATGGCATATTAAGGTTTTCATAGGTGGTTTGCCATCATCATCCTCTGAAATATAGCCTGCAGTACCTGGCTTAACTTTGTGGGCATGTTTGTGCTGTTCTTATATCCCTGGAAAAGACAGAATGTAGTCCCATTGGTTCATAGGCCACATGAGTTGCCCCAAGACCTTGGGACATTTCCAGCCAGCAAGAAGCATGAAAACTCACAGATAAATAGTTTAAATTGATGCAAGGTCTTTTTCTTTAAGACCATCTCTTATGAAACATGGACAATTCTAGTGTGGAATTATTCTTTGGATTTAGAAACTGGAGGTGGAAACTGAATTTTGCGGCTCCAGAATTGGGCCCCCTCCTCCCATGTGAAATATGGGGAAAACTTCAAAATTGGAAACTCCTTTTAATGGAAGGAGATGTTAAGTTAAAGGAGAGAGATGCAGAGGTTTCTTTACATATTTTTTTTCTGAACTCTTAGAGTGGGAAATAGATTATGGCCGCCTCCTCAGTTGGAATGAGCTCCACTTTCCATTCACAGCTGAACTGGCAAATGCCAAAGGAACAACTGTGACATTAGGCACTGCATTTAGTGAACTCGTTCATAACTTGGATTTTGCATTACAGTGTTCCCTTGTTACTTAGCGGTTCATTTATCGCGGACTTGCTACTTCGCGGTTTATATACAGACGTCACATGCAACTCCTGGAATGATTCCATCAGTGCTGCCTCCGGAAAATCCTGCAAATCTCCTGGGAAGACAAGTGGAAGAACCAAAAACCACCAGCATTGAAGCAATGGTCCTCCAACATCAACTCCACTGGGCCGGCCACATTGTCCAGATGCCTGACCACCGTCTCCCAAAGCAGTTGCTCTACTCTGAACTTAAGAATGGAAAACGGAACGTTGGTGGACAGGAAAAGAGATTTAAAGATGGGCTCAAGGCCAACCTTAAAAACTCTGGCATAGACTCTGAAAACTGGGAAGCCCTGGCCCTTGAGCGCTCTAGCTGGAGGTCAGCTGTGACCAGCAGTGGTGCAGAATTCGAGGAGGCACGAGTGGAGGGTGAAACAGATAAACATGCATCAAGCCAACCCCGACCGGGACTGCCTTCCACCTGGAAACCAATGCCCTCACTGCGGAAGAAGATGCAGAGCAAGAATAGGGCTCCACAGCCACCTACGGATCCACAAGAATACTGATCCTGGAAGACTATCCTACTCGTCCAACGAGGGATCGCCTAAGGTCACAGGTATGTAACCTACCAATATATATAGTAGTGATGAAACACTAGCAAGGAGGGAAGAAGAGCCGCCCCCTTGCCATCTTTACCTTCCTCTTCCTCCTTCTCGTTGCTGGCGCCTCCTCAATCGCAGAGCTCAAGCAGCGGCAAGAGGTCCAGGTGGCAATGAGGAGGAAGAAAAGGAAGGTAAAGAGGGCAAGGGGGTGGCTCTTCTTCCCTCCTCACCCTCTTTACCTTCCTCTTCCTGCTCGTAGTTTCTGCCTCTTGCTGCCGCTTGGAAGCAAGAGGCTCTGGTGGCACGAGGAAGAGGAAGGTAAAGAGGCTGAGGGGGCGATCCTCTTCCCTCCTTGCCCTCTTTACCTTCCTCTTCCTCCTCCTCATCACCGCCGGGGCCTCTCACCACTGCTTGGACCCCACAACACCTCCGCTGCCCTCTCAATTGCAGGGCCCAGGTGGCGGCAAGAGGCACAGACAGTGACAAGGAGGAGGAAGAGGAAGCTAAAGAGGGTGAGGAGGAAAGGGGAGAGGGGTGTCCCTACTTCACGGTTTTTCACTTATCACGGGTGGTCTTGGAACGTAATTCCCACGATAAGTGAGGGAACACTGTATTTATAGTGGAATACGTGGCATAATGTAAAATTATCAAATGTGAACTACATGTGTAGTTCACATTTGATAAGCCTATATATTGCCTTGCCAGAGAAAGAAAATATACCACACAGGTGAACAGTAAAGAACAAGTAAAGAACAAAGAACTACTTCAGCCAGAGAAATCAGCCATAGCAGAGCACCTGATGAATCAACCTGGACACAGCATATTATTTGAGAACACAGAAGTGCTGGACCACTCTCACAACCACCATGTCAGACTGCACAGAGAAGCCATTGAAATCCACAAGCATGTGGACAATTTCAACAGAAAGGAAGAAACCATGAAAATGAACAAAATCTGGCTACCAGTATTAAAAAACTCAAAAATTATAACAGCAAAACAACAGAGAAGAAGCAAACAGGCACATAAAATCACCCTCAACAGGGGGTTCCCCCCAGGCGCTTCCAACCAATTGAATGCAAATCAAGGTGATCGGCTTAAACATCCACAGCTAGCCCCAGCAGAAAAAAGCCCTTTGTCTCACCCTGGTCATTCCACAGATATATAAACCCATTTTTCCTACTTCTAACATACCTCACTACCTCTGAGGATGCTTGCCATAGATGCAGGCGAAACGTCAGGAGAAAAATTGCCTCCAGAACATGGCCATATAGCCCGGAAAAACCTACAACAACCTAGTGATTCCGGCCATGAAAGCCTTCGACAATACAAAGAACAAGTAGTTTATTCTTCATAGTTCAGAACAACATATATAAAGTGTGATTAGTTGCATCAGCTCACAGTGTCCTTTTATGAAAGATTTAAAATGTACCTTCTTTATAATAATAATAATAATAATAATAATAATAATAATAATAATAATTTATTTGTACCCCGCTACCATCTCCCCAAGGGACTTGGTGAGGCTTACATGAGGCCGAGACCACAATACAACAATAAAAACAATAGCAACAGTCATACAAACAATAAATAAAACTCATAAACAGAAAATAGCAAAAAACATTAACAATAACACAACGATGTTTTAAAACCTATGGCAGGGCCAAATGTACTAATTAAAAATTTAAAAAATAATGCTGGGCGTGACCAAGTGACATATAACCAGGATAGAAATTTTGGAGAGGGTTAGAGCGTGCAGACATGAGAGTAAACTCCTTCAGCAGTTCATGAAGCAAGAGCACTTTCAAACTCTCTCTCTCTGCCTCTATCTGATTCTCTCTTCTTCTCTCCCTGAACTTACATAGCTCAAGCCTGAACAAAAATGTAACAGTAGCCAAAAGTCCCAGGCTCAGCCATCTCCCCAGGCATTGCCTGACCAATCAGTGTCATGTATCTTATTTTTCAGTTGACGCACACACATTAACTGATTCCTTGCATGCTCCAACAGAATAAACAGTCAAAGGGCCTGATCTGGATTAGGTCAGTGACATGTGGAACTTGGAGGCAAGTGGTGCTTCCTCCAAGCACCACATTCTGGTCTTTAGAGTAGAAAAAAAAACTCCACCTTCCTCAATGTGATATCATTTCAACTGTTTTTGAAAATGGCTACCATGTCTCCTTTCAACCTTCTTTTCCCCAAGCTAAACAGACCCTGCTCCCTAAGCTGCTTCTCAAAGGACTTGGCTTCCAGACCTTTGACCATTTGGGTCGCCCTTCTCTGGACACCTTCCAGCTTGTACATATCTTTCTTGGGGGAAAAATGGACACAAGATTGGAGTTGAACTATATTTTCTTTCCGTCAAAACACTAAACTCGTATTGATGCAATTTAGGATTGCAATGTAGCGCTAACTTGATGCCTAGTAAAGAGATGGGGGAATTACACTTGTCTTTGGGAATGGCTATCTTCTTGACTCTGGGACTTCTTGGCTGCTTCATCAAGACTTTGGCTCTTTCGACCGGAAAGCATTTATTGTCTCAGCTCTGTGAGGCCGGGTCAGGGTCAGGCTGCAGCTTGTGTGGGGCTGGGCCACAGGAAGGAAATCTGGAGCCTTCAGTCTGCACCGCCCCAGCCAGCATAAAAAGGAGAGAGCAGCCTTATCACCCGACTGGGCTTTTTCCTGTGATGCAAGTTCAGGATGTGATGTGGACGAATGCACATAGGTTTGCCGTGACTGTGAATCTCAACGCAATGAAAGCACTTGCAGAAAATAGAGCAAGTGTGGCATAGTGGTCTGATTGTGGATGGCCATCTGTCAGGTGGGCTTGGATTGTGTCTACCCTGTCCTCCTTCCAGAGGGAGTTGAAGAATTGGATGTTTAGACAAGCCTTTGAAAATACCTAGCCCAGTGTTTCTCAACCTTTCCAGTGCCGCGACCCCTTAATACATGTTCTACATGTTGTGACCCCCAACCATAATTTTTTCATTGCTACATCATAATGTCAATATCTAAAATGCAGGATATATTTTCATTCACGGGAACAAATTTGGCACAAATACCAGATACACCCACATCTGAATACTGG